TAGATTTTTTAAGCTCTCTTAGTGCCATACATTAACATTATTTACAATTTTGTTTGCGCTAAGAGAGCTTCGAAAATCTAGGCCCTGAGTTGGTGTGTTTCTCCGCATAACTTTTATCTTTCCTTCCACTTCAAGCTAACATGCCAGGATATAAGCAAAAACTGTTGACATTGTAGTATTCCAAACTAACATATTGATACCTGGTGTCATTAAAGGGTTGTATTATGAGAATAAATAGCCATGGATTAAAAACATATGTAAAGAAGTAAGAGAACTGTCGATCAGAAGGGAATCTTCTTACTGGGTTGTCAAGGTGTTGCTGTGGTTTCGATATTTTATTCCCTGTCTGGTGAAATTAGCAGACAAACAGAAGTTGACATATGCAGGTCCAGTGGGTGAGGTTTAAAGTAGGGCTCTTAGGATTCACTCGCATATTCCGTGAATCAAACTGTATGCCTTCAAGAATTCAATTCATTAGAAACGAACATACCAAAAACATAATTTGTGTATTTAACTTATAATCCTCTGTTATTTATCAAGGCATGATAAATGTGGAATGTTTCCAGGTCAGGGAGGATAAGATGTAGAATTTCGCGATATTTTACCTGCGATACGATACGTATCACTATGCATACACCTTGAAAGAATGACACAGTATGGAGATTTAACTGATTTATTTCAAGGTTTTGTTTTTTTTTTGTGTATAACAAAAACACTATTGTAATAAACATACAAGTAACTCGATCATACTTGCATATTTTTCTCTACATAAGTACTTTAACATGTTTAATATAATACTGTTTTGAAAAAAAGTTGTGTATCGTTTTGTATCGATACACCAGTGGACGATACGATAGCTGTATCATACTAGAATGTATTGTGATGTATCAGTGCATCGGTGAATCGTCCCAGCCCTAAAACAGATGACCACTATTTTGACATTTTGGCTTCACAAAATAAGTCAGTTGTATAAAATGTACCATTTCTCATTATGCTTAAGTATGGTTCCTTGGAACATGTCAGCAGGTGTATGGATTATGTCAAATTAGGTTGTACAAGAACCCTGGCCTTATTCAGGTATAGTACACTTATTGAACACTGTACCAGTAGGTGGTCACTTGGTGTAAGACTCAGGGCTGCTTCACGCCTTCTTGAGAAGCTGTGTTATTGTATAGTGAGAGGGATTTCTCACCCTTGTCAAATACAGGCTAATGATACACTTGGTTGTCTGCAAGAGTAATCAGTGCCTATCTCCTTACTGTATCTACGCTCTAAATAAGTCACATAAATCTAATAAGATATGTGCTTGATACCCAACAAACCCTTCATCAAAATCTTCATGTCCTCCAACCTAAAGCCTGACATTAAACCGTTCAATCTCCTTGACTGAAAGGCCCCCAACTTGATATTGAATTAACATTTAATAAGCTGATACCTAGCTGTGTGATAGCAGGCTTTAGAATTTCCCCATCTCATCTGGAACCTCTGTTCCTGTCTTTGATGACACCGTGCAGCCATTACTACCTGTAGAGCTTGACCATCTCGCTGGTAATTGTCCAGTGTCCAGTGGTTTAGTAGGGGGTCTTCAAGGGTCCTATGTGGTGGGGCTGTGTTCTGGGTACTTGTGATCTCGGGGTGTAATTACAGAGCAGGGTTGGAGAATGAATGGTGATGGATGGTTGGTCACTACTGAAGTTAGTTTGGAGACAGATCATCCTGATTTTCTTGGATACTTTGAATGTCTCAAATTTGGTTTGAAAGCATTTCAAATAAACCTGAAGATGTGAAGACTTTGAGCATGGTTTGAGTATGATGATGAATGGTGATGGATGCTTGGTCACTGATGAAGATGGAATGGGAAGATGCCACATGGTTCATCTTGGGGCACTAAGGGGTCTCAAGTTTGGTGTGAATTTCAAATAAACTGGAAGTTGTGAAAAATTTGAAAAGAAGTGTAAATTAGCATGATTGGTTTTAACATAAGAAAAATTGTAAAGTAATTTCTGAAGATTTAATCAATTAGAGTATTAAACAAGACATATGCTCCCTCAAGTGGTCAATGGTTGAGACCTGTATCATTTAGTGCTTTCCTCCAACACCATGGTGACATATGATATGACACAAATAGTGTTCAAAGCAGCGTTAAATCAAACTCATTCACTAGTGAGGTTACATTTTTCTTGAAGATCTCTTACTCTGTTCTGTGCAACTTTTAGGTGAATTAATGGTCTAATTATTGCTGAGGAGTTTTGATGGGAATACAAGTTAAAAGGCATAAATTTAGTATATTGATTTTTTAAGCAAAATTGACTACTTTAACAAAATTTTGTACATATTTCAAGACGATGCTTTTACATTATAGGCCCCAAGAGGGCGGTGGGGTAGCCTAGTGGTTAAAGCATTGGCTTGTCACACCGAAGACCCAGGTTCGGGCACAATGTTTGAATCCCATTTATGGTGTCCCCCGCCTTAATTTTGCTGGGATATTGCTAAAAGCGGCTTAAAACCCAACTCACTAACTCACTCACAATGTTTGAAGCCCATTTCTGATATCCCCTGCTGTGATATTGCTGGAATAGTACTCAAAGTGGCGTAAAACTAAACTTGCTCACTCACTCACTAGGCTCCAAGAATGAACAGTCACACTATAATAATTTATGCAACATGTGTTTCCTGGTTAGGATTGTTCCCGATGAACTGATGCCGACCCAAGAGGCCGACCCAAATGTTTCTGTGACTGTGTCGTATCCTGATGGGGTCAATCATTGCTCTTGACATGACTCACTGGATTTTCTGTCAAGAGCCAATTTACAAGTTGAGGTGATATAGCTGGAATATTGTGTTAAAAAACAACTGACAACCAAACAACTGAATTATAGGAGAGCTAGCTCCTGTTCTTTCACTAGTGTATCAGGAAGGCTCTGCAACCTGAGGAACGCTAGTACTTTAGACATGTGCCCCAGAACTGGCTTGTGCCTAAGTGATGTATCGAATCTGTCATGTGTTATTTAATAATGACTGGCAGGTGAATGGGTTCTCTTGTTTTGTTTTTTTAAAAATTGTATTTCGAACATGTGTATATCAAGAAGTATACATGAGTTTATAAATCAATTCAGTTATGCCATACATAATCTGACATTTGTAAAACAAATACTCAGTCACTTAAGCCTCTGATACGTTAATATGCTAACTATAGTGATCGGGTAGATTGTTGGAAGAATGTTAAATGAAGCCATTTCCTGTGACTGGATTATTGCCACTGGAATAGTTACAACTCATTGTCTTAGGATTGAGTGGAATTGTAATAGATTGACACATGAAGTATGTTGTTCTTGATCCCTGTAATCCCATAGCTATCCTACAAATGTACAAGCTGGTTATCGTTACATTTTGTCAGATCAATAATCGATCGATTATAATCGTTTGGACGGTCATTTCATAGTCATATACCTACGTTAGCAAACTAACTTCCAGGATGTTGTCAGCACATGTCAATTGTTAATGCTAGCAAGTTACTTACATTTGCAGCATCTTTGGATCATCAAGTATCCTATCGTCTTACATTTCCGATTGTTATATGTTTTTGATCGGCCATTACAATTCCCGTTTATAGCGCGAAAAATGCGAGAAAATCCATGAGAAGCATCTCGAATGACAACAAGGCGATCCCTGCTATCGTTCTGACATCGATATGCTACGAATCAAGTTTCCATGTGTAGGCAACAGTATAAAAAAACGACAAGAGATTAATTTTAACTCAGGGATCTTTAATGCAATATCTGCCTCATAATCAAATGCACAAAATCCTGAATCTTTACTCCAAAGATGCCATGGATGTTTCGTCTACTTAGTTGACATCCTACCTTACAAGATCATGCTACTAGTCATGTGACCTCACTGGTAGATTTATTTTCATGGCATGCCATTTTGAAAAAAACCGTTTTGTTTATGTTAAAGGGTGAACAAAGACATTTCCTTAAGGTTGAAACACAAAATTTATTCTGGGAAGTATTATAATTAACCACTGTATTGAGAGAATGGATAGTTTAAGAGAATTCATGAAACTGAAATTAGCTCTATTTTACCCGCCTTGCGTAAGTCACGTGTTTGTATGCAAATGCAACTCAAGGAATTCCCTCTTTCAGCCAATTAGAAAGTAGCTAACCTGTAATACCTGGGTCATATTGTGATGTTTAGTTGCATGATTGGACGAATGAGTTTAGCACAGTTTGCTCATGAATATTAAATAATTTCTATAAACCACTTTACAACTCGTAGTATTTCAATGACGAAATAGGAGACCCCAATCTAAATATATCTAGCATTGCCATTGGCGGACAAGGGAGGCATGTGCACTTGTGTAGTACACAGCTTCCGTTTAAGTGGTAAACAAGCAATGACAACCAGAGTGTTCAGTATAAGAAAACATGACAAGGTAGAATAAAACGTTTTAATGTATGTGCATCCAAATAATGATTATTTCTGATTATCGATCTGCAGTATATTTGTAATCGACAATCGTTTATTTTGACTTAGATCGGACGATTAACCGATCTCACGATTAATCGCTCCAGCACTACTAAAAGTAGTCAGATTTTCTTAATAATGGACTAGAATGGACTTTGCAATATGTAGCACTGTATGAACTGTGTTAACGTTGAGATCATTTTGATTTTGTGCTTGCTGTGATTTTCATCTTGACTGACAGATCTTGTGTGTCTTTGTACCATATTTGTTGCTAAAGGGTGGGGAGGGGTGCGACCATATATGATTCTGTGGCATCAAGAAGTTAACAGTGTTTTTACCATTAAAGTTTGTTCGTTAGACCCATAGCTGTTTTGCTTCTTCACATGATTGATGCTCATCTTATAGACCACTGGTTTGACAGTAAATACTGCAGACATTTCACTTCATTATGGAATGGGGATGAATGAAACCAAAACTGATAGATTATGTTCAAAACCTTTTGAAAAATAACTATCAGTGCTTTCCCTTTGCAGGAGCGTGACATGAAACGACGAGCCTTGGAGAATGCCCCGAGACGGACATCATGTAGACTAGAGGAGAAACAGAAGCAGAGGGAGGAGGAGGTGAGCTACAGAGTCACTGATGTAACATGGACCGTTTCACATGTGTTTAGGCAGGGAGATGAGTCATGTATTGTAACTATCAGAATGTTCCCTAATAGAGCAGTGGCTTAACAGAAACCTGGAATTGGGTATTGACGGTTCTGATGGTTACTGACACAAGGCTTGGAGGATTTCATGAAAATCAAGAAGACATGGTCATCAATATCCCTGCCACAGTTTTCTGTTACTATTTGGTTCCTGTTTTTGAACCCCACCACGACATTCATGTCCTGAAAATACATACCACATTTGGTTTCACTATCTATAATGGTTACTGAGAAAATCTGTCCCCATTGGGGACCGCCTCCGTGGTGTAGTGGTTAGAGCGTCCACCCGGAGAGCGGAAGGTCGCGGGTTCGATCCCCAACCGCGTCATACCAAAAAGATGTTAAAATGTGGTACTTGTTGGTCCCTGCCTGGGGCTCGGCATTAATGGCTACAACAAGGACTGGTCGGCTCGGAGTCAGTATAGGTGTCTGAGTGGGGTATTCATTCTTCACTGCGGCATGGTACCTCAGTGTGCTAGCACTATAAAACCAGCTTAAGTCTGGGCTAGTACAAGCAGCCGCACATACACATACACATGCATACACGTCGTCATATGAGCGAAATATTCTCAAGCACGACGTAAAACCCAATTTCACCTCACCTCACCTGTCCCCATTGGGGATACCGTGCACTAAGTCAAGAAACACATGACAAGGGCCATAACTCTGTTATAAATTGTATCATGGTTTCTGTTTTCGAACTCCATCAAAGCATTCGTGTCTTGAATACACATACCAAATTTGGCTTCCCTAGCTATCACAGTTTTTTTTATAGAAAATCTGTCCCCATCATCTTGGGCGGACGGACAGACGGAGCTCAAACCTATATCGCCCTCCTACTTCGTGGCAGGGGATAATAATCCAAAGGAAGAAAATCTCGCCTATGTGTCTTTTGATATCAGATACATCAACACAAGTTGTTAAAGTTTAAGCTTGTTGATAAATTTGATCCAAAGACTATTGTCTGAGATTCTATGGATCATAAACACTCATGCTTCCAACATGTCGGGCGGTGGGGTATCCTAGTGGTTAAAGCGTTGGCTCGTCACGCCGAAGACCCGGGTTCGAATCCCCACATGGGTACAATGTGTGAAGCCCATTTCTGGTGTCCCCCGCCGTAATGTTGCTGGAATATTGCCGTAAAACCAAACTCAGTCAGTCAGTCAGTCTGCTGACTCATGGATTGCTTATGCTGTCCAACATGCTAATGCTTGACTGTGTTGCAGGAGAAGCTGCTGGCCCAGATGCTGGCGGCTGAGGAGAAGGTGGCGTCACGCGGAGGAAGAGGAGCGAAGGAAGATGCTAGAGCTGGAGAAGCTGGAGATCCAGAAGCGTCAGCGTGAGGAACGAGAGAAGCAGAGAGAGAGGATGAGAGAAGAGCGAGAGAAGGCTGGAGAAAGTAAGGGAGAAATACACTGACTTAGAGAGAACCATTTCAGCTTGCTTAAAGCTTCCATTTGATTTATGATGATGGCAGTTCCTATTGAACTTAGCTTGTCATAAAAGTCAACTAAATGGATCCGATGATAAAACTTGGCAACTTGACAGACCCAGTGATGTGGATAGTTGTACATGCTTTCTTGGTCAATGGTTACCTGCTGGAGACTCTGGCTGTGATATATAGGCTGCTGTGATACAGCATGAATATTGCTTTCTGAATTAGGATTCACTCTTGTGAAAAATTCTTGAAATACTGAAAATCAAATACTTAGATTAACTTGAATGCAATAATATTTTCTTAAATGTACTTTATATATATAAGTTTGTCATGTTGGGTTGTAATAAGGTGCATTTGCTGTGTTGCCAGGAAGAGCGGAGCGTGCTTCGTTGCGGGAGGAGAAAGCACGCCTGTATGCGGAGCGGGATCGTCTCCTAGCAGAAGGCTTGGAGCTGCCCCCTGAGCTGCAGAACCTGGACTCCACAAATGGGCACCGGGATGATGACGAGGATTATGACAAGTGAGCTGACCATTCCTTGTGTACAATTTGGAACTTCTGATTAGATGTCTTAAAATTGATTTTGTTTGTGAAAATCACTTCACTCAGGTGGCCAAATGCTGTTTTAAAATTGGAATCCAAGAAGAGGTGAAGCAAAGAAGCAAACTGAACTGTTGCACTGGGACGGAAGCCATTTTGGAAATCCTATTATTTTCCTGCTTTCTGTTTCCCTTTCCTGGCTTTGGTATGAGTAGTTCTTCAGATTTGTTTTAGTGAACTTGTAGAAAATTGATTGTGTAGAGCGCTTGCTGTCTCTCCATAGCCTTTTCACATCAATTTCAATGGTATGTTTTTGTTGCTCAATTTAGCTTATGTTGAACACATTTACAGGGCATGTTTCTTTTTGCAGGATTGACTCAGAGCATGAAGAAATGTTCAGCGGAATGAGAAAAAGTAAGTGACATTTTCTTTTAAACAGAGACCAGATTTGTAACCAGATTTGGTTGGGTTTCCTCCGTAAAAGAATTTTCTATATTGACGCTTGAATATGTATCTAGAGAGTGAGTGTGGTTTTAAGCCGCTTCTTAAGCAATATTCCAGCAATATGGTGGGCTTCACACATTTGTACCCATGTAGGAAATCGAACCCAGGTCTTCAGCATGAAGAGTTAACACTTTAACCACAGGCTACCCCACCACCTGAATATGCATCTAACAAGGGTATTATTTAGAATTATTGTTTTGCTGTCAGATAAACCTGATGGTATATCTGTTTTGTACAAGTAATATCCAATGAGAATGAGTGCAGTATACAACTAACATGACTTGTTACTGCTGCAGTACTGTACACTGTGAAGGCGCATGACGACTCCTGGCCATTCTGGGAACCTGTGAAAGAGGAGTTTGCTCCTGATTACTTCCGTGTTATCAAGGTAAGGTCTTTTATCTCCTTAAAGCCCCTTATGGCAGGCTACAGGTTAATCAGTAACATTTATGTGTGAGATGTATAAGATATTTGGAGGCACATGCTAGATAATATTATATGGAAGACATCATGAATTATCTCCCCTTTGTATGTTCAGTCTGAATGTAATAGTGTAACAGGACATGTTTCTTCCTCAAGAATAATAATTCCATTGTTGCTCCACCCAGACGCCAATGGACTTGACGATGATTGAGAAGAAACTGGATGACAGGGTGTACAAGTCAGTCCATGAGTTTGCAGACGACTTCCAGCTGCTGTTCGAGAACTGTGAGAAGTACAATGGGGAAACCAGTGGTAGGTACAAAAGAGCTTTCTGAAGCAAATATTGCAAAATGGCCTCCTGTTGAGTTATTTTTAGTCTTCCAGTTCAAGAAGGCTCAGAGGCACCGGTTGCCTAGTCGTCTCAGATGTGCAAAGTTGCATTATTTAGGCATCCCAAACACCTTTGATAATGTGTTTGAATCAAAGATTTCCATGGGTGATCAAGCTCACAGACTTAATTGAGGCATGTCCATCACGTCCAAATTGCATCTATCAATACTTGTAATATCAATGACTATATTGTCTGACCACACTCGATAATTTACACACTGCCTTCATATAAAGGAATGTTATAAACTCAGTTATTAAAACCATCAGCTTTTTCATGCACTCAGGATACAGAATTCATATGTTTTATTGACTGATCTCTTCACTCGCAGATTTCACATATATGGCACGAGCTCTGCAGAAGATTGTAAACATCCGGGTAAAGAAGTTGGCGCCCAAACATGTCCATCGCTACGAGGAAGACGAAGACTTTGTGCCTGAAGTGGACGTCTCCCCCAACACCAAGAACCGCCCACGCAGACAGGCTGCCAGCCACACCATGGAAAACATCCATGCCATGATGGTTGACCAGGTGAGTAGCATAACCCAGGCAGAGGAATCTTAATGGATGCTTTGGGTTTTGTAAAGGCACGGGTTAGAATGATCCTTAGGTAACCCATGCTTGTCATAAGAGGCGACTAACAGGATCAGGTGGTCAGGCTTGCTGACTTGGTTGACACATGCCATCGATTCCCACTTGCGCAGATTGATGCTCATGCTGTTGATCACTGGATTGTGTGGTCCAGACTCGATTATTTGCTGGAATATTGCTGAGTGTGGCATAAAACTAAACTCACTCACTTATTGGGTTTTGTAGGACAAATACAACCGGATGATGTCAACTCCTTAGGATTGTATATGAATGTGGAACCTTCATGGGCTCTGTGTTGTAATGTGGCTTTAGCGGCCTGTATTGGTCGTGTCTTATCATACACCAAAGATGGGGATCATTGCTCACAATATTGGTTGCTTGATTGTCTGGTTTGGACCTACTATAGTAGGCTGACACCATATAGCTGAAATATTGCGAGTGTGGTGTCAAATGAGAGGTGATTAAATGTCAAATGGTTACTGGTTTCACCAAAGTGGTAAGACTTTCATTACTTCAGGTTCACTTCCCATATTTAACTGACCCGTGAAGGTCTGGGTTAGAATATTGGTCTTCAGTAACCCATGCTTGTCGTAAAGAGGTGACTAACGGGATCGGGTGGTCAGGCTCGCTGACTTGGTTGACACATGTCATCAGTTCCCAATTGCGCAGATCGATGCTCATGCTGTTGATCTCTGGATTGTCATGTCCAGACTCGATTATTTACAGACCGCCACCATATGGCTGGAATATTGCTGAGTGCGGCGTAAAACTAAAATCACTCGCTCACTCCCATATTTAACTGACATGTCATGATATAACTGAAACACTGTTGGCAGCAGCATTAAAAAAAAATATTAACTCAAACCTCACCTTTTTTGTTATTATAGCTGAAATTCTTCCATATCTCATTACAGGATGAAGAGGTTGAAAGTGACAACTCCAAATCCAACTACACAATCGTATACCCTGCTCTGAAGGCACGGGGTGGTGACATGCGAACTGCAGAGGGACAGGCCCGTTTCCTCCAAGCCCTCCAAGCAGCCAAGCGGAAAGAGGCAGCTGAAGAGTTCCTACGAAAGGGCAACACCCCACAACGGTCACTAATGGTTCAGACCAACACTATCAACATACCCAAAGCACCTGAGCGTCCAGTATCCATTGAGGATCCAGTTAAGGGCATCATTATCCAGAACAATCGCAATAAGATGCAGCTTCTGGCTAAGACAGTGAACATTACTTCCCCGGTACAATGGACAACAGCAGAAGCCGACATCAGCTCCTGCAGAAGATCCTGAACTTGCAGCTCTCCCTATGCATAAACGAATCCAGGAGAGAGAAGCTCAGAAGGCCAAAAATAAACTTTCTGAGCCTAAAGCGGAACCTGTGACTGATTCCATATCCGTTGTGAGGAGACATGATGTGTCCCGTGTGTATACAGAACTGATTCAGAAAACTGCTAAGCATACCAGTCATAATAAATACAGTCAGGGGAAAACGCCTCCTGCAAACATTTCACCCAAAGTTGTGCACATCTCTTTGGATGACTTTAAAAGGTTGCAGTCTCAGAAGGCCAAAGTGATAGTTGTTCCTTCCGGGGAGAAGAACAAGGCTGGTACAGTGATACACCTCAGCACTGGTGGGATCAGGACGTCATCCAGCTCGCCAAATGCTAAGTCCTATATTGAAAACAACAAAGAAGAGCAGAAGGCATCGCCAGCTCAGGGTGTGGTGCCCACGAAAGATGTGAAAGTCCTGGAACATTCCTCTGATAAGATCACAGTTCTGAAGACCAGTCCTGTTGCAGAAACCCCTGAGAAAACGGAAATGGAAGAGAAGATTGATGAAACTCCAGATAGTGATCAGGTATCAGAACCTCCCCACAAAACAGTTGAAACTCCAAAGACAATCATGAAGACACCAAAGAAAACCGTGTTTCGCAAAAAGGTAGATGAGGAAGAAGATGCAGTAAAGGAAGAAGATGAAGATTCTGAATGTCCTGTTCCCAAAAAGAAAAGGAAGTCTGTGTCTTGGTCACAGAACCTCACAACAGAATCTCCATATGTTCCCTTGCCACAAGAAGCACAGACTCCAAGCCCAGCACGGTCTACCTGCTTGTATAAGGATGGCATTCATCGTCGAGTACCAAGGATGCATAAGAAAGTCGAGGAAACGGTGGTTTCCAAAGATGAAGAAATTGGATCTGAGAAAACTGTCATCAATGGAATGATAGTGTCAAAAAGTGCTTTGCAGTCTGCACCTGTTGTCAAGACATACAGTAAACAAGAACCAGAGAGAAAGCGAAGTTATGAGTCTGACTTTTTCGTCGAGGATGGTCCCCCAGAGAATCGGGAACCATCACCTCCAAAACTTACAAAGATTGAACAGAGTGATTGCGCTGTTATTGATCATTCTGAAGATGCTCCACCTGATATCTTTTCTGATCCTGAAATTGAAACCGTTTCAAGTGGCACTGATTTGACCAGTACCCCAAAACCTAGTACCTGTTTGTATACATACACCAAGGAAAAGAAGAAGAAACTCTTTCCAAAGGAAAAGGAGACAAGTGATGAGTCAACATGTGCTAAGGTTGTACGGAGAACAAAGCGATCTCCCCACACTGTTAGAACAACTCGAAGAGGTAGGGTGTCAACTCCAGTACGTGATGACATCGTTGACATCGTTGCAGAAATTCCTGAAGTGAATGAGACAAGGAGGCGAGGGAGACCCTCATCTTCTCTTGTGTGTTTTGCTGTACAAAAGAAAGATGATATTGATACAGAAAAGAAAGTCAAATTTACGAAGGTCTATCAAAGGAACAAGGAGAAGGATCCAGCAGAGATGGACAGTGATCAGTGTGATATGCAAGAGCCAGTGTTGGACTTGGTGTCAGAGGCCAACGTGGAAGACTTTGAGGAGGCAGTTAGCGATGATGTCGAGATGGTGGACATGGGGACTGTGGCACCTGCTGTTGATGATGTCTCCAGAAAGGATACAGCTGCTACAGAGGAACATGGTCAACCAGGAGAGGGTGTTGGAGAGGCTGCTTCTGGAGATAAGAATTTAGAAAAAGAAGGTGTAGAAACTTTAGAAGAAGAACCTGAAACAGTACAAGATGAACAAGCAGAAAAACAGGCAGAAAAAGAAGAGGAGGAGCAAAAGAGAGAAGAGCAAAAAGAAGAGGAAGAGGGAAAAGAAGAAGAAAAGGAGGAAAAAGAAGAGGAGATGCAGTCTGAAGAAGAAGATGAAGTTATCCAGTTAGAGGAAACTGCATGTAGTGGCACCCAGACAGTTCAATTTGCAGAAGTTGATGGAAAAGTTGTTCCTGTTGAGGAGGTTAAGGAGGAAAAGGAAGAAATATTGATTGATGAGACGGAGGGTGAAAAGGAGGACCAGACGAAGGAAGAATCATCTCAGTTAGGTCAAGGGCTTGGTAAAGTATGTCAGACAGAGGATGTAGGTCCTGATACTGCTGAAATTCAGCAGCAGGAATGTGAAGTTGTCCTGGAAGAGGCAGAGGTTAAGCCGCCAGAGCAGCAAGATGTTGAACATGAAGTTGAATCACAGCAACAAGATGCTGATGCTGAAGTTGAGTGTGTGGTTGAGCTAGGGCAGGATGCTGCTGAAATTCAAGATGAGCCCGAGATGCAAGAAGCTGAGGTTGAATTAAAAAATCAAGTTGAAGTTGAGCATGAGATGAAGCCAGAGAAGCAAGGTGCTGAAGTTGACCATGAGGTTAAGTCTGGGAAGCAAGATGCTGAAGTTGAACTTGTAGTTGAGCTAGAGCAGCAAGATGCTGAAGTTGACCATGAGGTTGAGCCTGGGAAGCAAGATGCTGAAGTTGAACTTGTAGTTGAGCTAGAGCAGCAAGATGCTGAAGTTGAACATGAGGTTGAGCCTGGGAAGCAAGATGCTGGAGTTGAACTTGTAGTTGAGCTAGAGCAGCAAGATGCTGAAGTTGAACATGAGGTTAAGTCTGGGAAGCAAGATGCTGAAGTTGAACTTGTAGTTGAGCTAGAGCAGCAAGATGCTGAAGTTGAACATGAGGTTAAGTCTGGGAAGCAAGATGCTGAAGTTGAACTTGTAGTTGAGCTAGAGCAGCAAGATGCTGAAGTTGAACATGAGGTTAAGTCTGGGAAGCAAGATGCTGAAGTTGAACTTGTAGTTGAGCCAAAGCAGCAAGACGCAGAAGTTGAGCATCAGGTTGAATTACAGAATCAAGTTGCTGAAGTTGAAGTTGATGTTGAATCAAAACAACAGGTTCCTGGAGTTGAACATGACATTGAATTACAGCAGCAGGTTGCTGAAGTTGAACTTGAGGTGCAGCCAGAACAGCAAGATGATAAAGTTGGAGATGAAGTTGAATCAGATCTTAGAGATGCTGATGTGCATATGAACCAGAAACATGCTGATCAGCCAGATGTGGCTGAAGCTGAAAGTAATAAGGACAGTGAGTCAAAAGTTGATGAATCTCATTTGGCTGAAGAGGAACCAATGGAACAGGAAGATGCTGAAGTAGAAGAGCAAGTAAAATCAGAACAAAAATATACTGAAGTTGAAAATGGTGTAAAATTAGATGTTGAAGATGTCAAAGTGGGAAACTATCTAGAAATGTCTGAAGTTCAAACAGATGAAGTCTGTATGGCCAAGGATGCAGCAAGGGACAAGCCAGAATCTGCAGAGAGAAGACTGTCAGATGAACTGAACTCTGAAAGACAGGAACTTAATACAACTGGAGTGGTAAAGATGGGTCAAACAGAAAGTCTGCAAACCTATGTTGACACACAGGTGAAGGCTACATCATCAATTCAACTTGATAACAAGAGCTCTGGCTCAAATGTAAAGACAGCTGCATCAACAACTGATGAGTCTTCTAACTTACATGCCAAAACAGATTCATCAAAAGATAGCAGGCCATCTGACTCTGATGCTAAAATGTCTCCATCAAGTGATTCCAAGTCATGTAATTTCGAGGTTAAGACACCTTCATCAAGTGAAAGAAAGTCTTCCGAATCTGATGTTAAGACACCTTCATCAAGTGACAGGAAGTCGTCTGACTCTGATGTTAAGACACCTTCATCAAGTGAAAGAAAGTCCTCTGACTCTGATGTTAAGACACCTTCATCAAGTGACAGGAAGTCGTCTGACTCAGATGTTAAAATGTCTCCATCAGGTGATAGGAAGTCCACCGACTCTGATATTAAGACACCTTCATCAAGTGAAAGAAAGTCCTCCGAATCTGATGTTAAGACACCTTCATCAAGTGACAGGAAGTCGTCTGACTCAGATGTTAAAATGTCTCCATCAGGTGATAGGAAGTCCTCCGACTCTGATATTAAGACACCTTCATCAAGTGAAAGAAAGTCCTCCAACACACATTCTAAAACATCTTCATCAAGTGACAGGAGGTCCTCTGATTCACACTCTAGGACAAGTTCTTCTTGTGACAGGAGGTCCCACGACTCACACTACAAGTCAAGCTCATCAAGAGACAGGAGGTCCTCCGATTCACATGCCAAGTCAAGCTCATCAAGCGATAGGAGGTCGTCTGGCTCACATAGCAGGTCCTCTTCATCAAGAGATAGCAAGTCCTCTCATTCACATCACAAGTCATCTTCATCAAGAGATAGCAAGTCCTCTGACTCGGATGCAAAGTCATCTTCATCAAGAGATAGCAAATCCTCTGACTCGCATTACAAGTCAAGCTCATCAAGAGATAGAAAATCCTCTGATTCACATAGCAAGTCAAGCTCTTCAAGAGATAGGAGGTCCTCGGACTCACATAGCAGATCATCTTCATCTAGAGATGGGAGATCCTCGGACTCACATAGTAGATCCTCCTCATCAAGAGATGGGAGGTCCTCGCACTCACATAGCAGATCATCTTCATCAAGAGATGGGAGGTCCTCTGACTCACATAGCAGATCATCTTCATCAAGAGATGGGAGGTCCTCGGACTCACGTAACCGGTCTCCTTCATCAAGAGATAGCAAGTCCTCAGATTCATATAGCAAGTCAACTTTATTGAGTGCCAGCAAGTCCTTGGAATCACAACAGACAACTCCATCAAATGATATCAAATCCACAGACTCTAATGTCAAGACAGCTTTACTCAAGGAAGGCCAAAGTGTAGAGGATTGCCAAACAGTTCCAAACCAAGATGTTGTAGTAGCGACTGAAGCCAAGGTAGAGAAACATCCTGTACAAGTGCAAACAACTGTTGTTGGATCATCCAAGGAACCAAAAGTGCCTCAAAGTGAACAAGTTACAGGGACTGAAACTGAGAAGAGGGGTGAAAGGAATTTGGAAGAGAAAGTGGCAACAGAAACAAGTGTTGAAGGTGATGTTGAAATGAGTGTGGTTGAAGTAGCTCAAGTTAAAATTCATAAGGTTGAGCAGGAGGAAGTTGCAGTTAGTCAGAGTGAGGTGACTGAAGTTGAAATGGAACAAGATGATGTGAATGCTGTTGAACGACAAGAGGCTGATGTTGCTAAAGTTGAAATGGATCAGGCTGAAGTGGACATGGATGTAACTGAAGGGGAAACTGAAAAAGGAAATGAAATAGCAGATGCAAATGTGGGGGTTGTAACTGGTGCTGAAACAAATGAGGTAAATGTATCTGAAACTCATCAGTTGAAAATCAGTGAAGAAAATGCATGTAAGACTGAAGCTGTTCATACAGAAGTAGCCGAAGCTGTTCACACGGAAGTAGCCGAAGCTGTTCACACAGAAGTAGCTGAAGCTGTTCACACGGAAGTAGCCGAAGCTGTTCACACAGAAGTAGCTGAAGCTGTCCACACAGAAGTAGCTGAAGCTGTTCACATGGAAGTAGCCGAAGCTGTTCACACGGATGTAACTGAAGCTGTTCACATAAAAGTAGCTGAAGCTGTTCACACAGAAGTAGCTGAAGCTGTTCACACGGAAGTAGCTGAAGCTGTTGACACGGAAGTAGCTGAAGCTGTTCACACAGAAGTAGCTGAAGCTGTTCACACGGATGTAACTGAAGCTGTTCACACGGAAGTGGCCAAAGCTGTTCACACGGATGTAACTGAAGCTGTTCACACAGAAGTAGCTGAAGCTGTTCACACAGAATTAGCTGAAGCTGTTCACTCAGAAGTAGCCGAAGCTGCTCACACAGAAGTAGCCAAAGCTGTTCACACGGAAGTAGCCGAAGCTGTTCACACAGAAGTAGCCGAAGCTGTTCACACAGAAGTAGCCAAAGCTGTTCACACAGTAGCCGAAGGTGTATACACAGAAGTAGCCGAAGGTGTTCGCACGGAAGTAGCTGAAGCTGATGGACTGAAAGGTGGAGCAGATCAGTCAAGCAATATAACAAACACAAGGAAAGACAATGTTGAAACTGAAGCCTCAGAAGATAAACTCAGAAAGTCTAGTGTTAATGAAGTTGATACAAAAACATTATCTGCGGCTGAAAGTGAAACTGAGGAAACAGATGTGGAAGTTCAGATTGCAAGAGAGACAATTGCTGACACCATAACACCAGAAGTTGTTGAAGATAAATTGGACAAACCCTTTGTTCCAAAAGTTGAAACAAATCAGATTGAAGTGGAATATGTTGAAACTGATGTTGTGGAAACAATTGAATGTGACGGGGAAACACCAGTCGCAGAAAATGTTAGTGAACCAGTTGAGGTGGTGTCTATGGAGGTTGAGGAAGAGTGTGTTGAGAGTGGTGATGCTGTGTGTGGTGAGTCTGAAGAATTCCGGAGTGAGGACATACAGGTTGTAGGAGAGGGATCAGAAGAAGTTGTTGAGGAGGTTGTTGAGGAGGTAGTGCTGGTAGTTGCTGACGGAGATTATGTTGAAACAAGAACTGAATGTTCTGCAGACAATGCACCTGCAGTAGGTGTCAGTGTTTCCAAGGAACCAATAAATTCCATGGAAACAGATGTGATGGACGTAGGTTCCTGTAACACAGTGACTGAGACCAAAACACATCCAACCACTATGTTGGAAACAGTGGGGCAACCCGCTGCTCAAGATGCAAAGACAAGTGATGAAATAATTCCAATGGATACTGACTGTGATGAAGACCCTGAGAGTAAGGATCAGGAAATTAGTGTTCAGATTATTGATGACAGTGTTAGTGCTGACGAAACTGGAAATTGTGATACTGTGAACATAGGCCCAACTGTTAGTGATTCTAAATCAAGAGACAGTTCAGAAATGGTGGAGGAAGTTGTTGAGGAACCCAAATCTGATGACCCTCCAGAACTGGACTGTAGTGGTCCTCCAGTGTTGGAAAGAATATCCCCCATAGACTATAAAGAAAGATCTGCTTCCCCTGATAGATTCCCTGCTGAGGGATGTCAAACAGGAGCTAACCAAATGATTTCCCACCATACAGTACATAACAGGTCGGTGAATGGGACAGAGTCGGACAGCAAGACATGCTCAGAATCAGACTCAAAGGAATTACCTGTGCTTAGTGAGCAACAAAAAGACGATTCAGGGGATTTTAAATCGCCATCCAGTGATCCAGTTAAAAAGTCCTGCAAGTCCCCAGTGTTCAGTACACCAAGTGAACTCCCAGTTTTACAAAAGCACAGCCCAACCAAACTTTCACACACAAAGAGCAGTTCGGGTAAGAGTTCGCCTGAAAATTCTTCTCCTAAAAGGTCTCCAACTTCCTCACCTCCTAAACAGGGTGTTGATAGAAATGTATTCAGTGAGTTTGCCTCCAATGTGAATTCCTCCGATTCCAAAACCAGTCCAACATCGTCACCCAGCAAAGGCTCACCAAATAGGCCTAATCTGCCAATAGGATTTGCAGCATCTCTCAGCAAATTAAAAGATATCGGGACCTTTAAATTGTCATCAAAATCAAAGGTAATAATGAAACACTGATTGGATCATGTTGATGCTTATGTTATATGCTACTCAAAATTAGTTAAGGAATACCAAACCTTTTCCTGTGACTATGGTTAGTTTAGCCTTTAGAAAAATCTGGTATTCTTTAGCTTCTGGTGAGTGGTGTATTGTAGAGGTGTCACTATTCACAAATGTATCAATGTTTCGCCTTCTGTGTATTATTACTTTTCTTAAATTTAAGCCTGGTTTCTCTCCAGTCATGATATTGGTAAGGCCGATGTAGGAAATAGGGTGTGAATTAGTCCTGTGCTGCTGATGCTTATTGTAAGAGGAGACAGAATAGACCAGGTAGTTGGACTTGGTGTCTTGGTTGATTGTGTGTCCTTGATGGCGTGAATCATTGCTCACAATATTGTGATGGAGCTTTGTTGTCAAGGGAGCATCGTCATTCCTTGATAACAGGAATCATTGCTCACAATATTGTGATGGAGCTTTGTTGTCAAGGGAGCATCGTCATTCCTTGATAACAGGAATCATTGCTCACAATATTGTGATGGAGCTTTGTTGTCAAGGGAGCATTGTCATTCCTTGATAACAGGAATCATTGCTCACAATATTGTCATGAAGCTTTGTTGTCAAGGGATTGTGTTGTCATTCCTTGATGACAGGAATCATTGCTCACAATATTGTGATGGAGCTTTGTTGTCAAGGGATTGTGTCATCATTCCTTGGTGACAGGAATCATTGCTCACAAAATTGTGATGGAGCTTTGTTGTCAAGGGAGCATCGTCATTCCTTGATAAGAGGAAACATTGCTCACAATATTGTGATGGAGCTGGTTGTCAAGGGATTGTGTCGTCATTCCATGATAACAGGAATCATTGCTTGCAATATTGTGATTGAGCTTTGTTGTCAAGGGTGTGTGTCGTCATTCCTTGATAACAGGAATCATTGCTCACAATATTGTGATGGAGCTTTGTTGTCAAGGGTGTGTGTCGTCATTCCTTGATAACAGGAATCATTGCTCAATATATTGTGATGAAACTTTGTTGTCAAGGGTGTGTGTCGTCATTCCTTGGTGTGAATCATTGCTCACAATATTGTGATGGAGCTTTGTTGTCAAGGGTGTGTGTCGTCATTCCTTGATAACAGGAATCATTGCTCACAATATTGTCATGAAGCTTTGTTGTCAAGGGTGTGTGTCGTCATTCCTTGATAACAGGAATCATTGCTCAATATATTGTGATGAAGCTTTGTTGTCAAGGGTGTGTGTCGTCATTCCTTGGTGTGAATCATTGCTCACAATATTGTGATGGAGCTTTGTTGTCAAGGGTGTGTGGTGTGTGTCGTCATTCCTTGATAACAGGAATCATTGCTCACAATATTGTCATGAAGCTTTGTTGTCAAGGGTGTGTGTTGTCATTCCTTGATAACAGGAATCATTGCTCAATATATTGTGATGAAGCTTTGTTGTCAAGGGTGTGTGTCGTCATTCCTTGGTGTGAATCATTGCTCACAATATTGTGATGGAGCTTTGTTGTCAAGGGTGTGTGTCGTCATTCCTTGATAACAGGAATCATTGCTCACAATATTGTGATGGAGCTTTGTTGTCAAGGGTGTGTGTCGTCCTCCCTTGATAACAGGAATCATTGCTCACAATATTGTGATGAAGCTTTGTTGTCAAGGGTGTGTGTCGTCATTCCTTGATAACAGGAATCATTGCTCAATATATTGTGATGGAGCTTTGTTGTCAAGGGTGTGTGTCGTCATTCCTTGATAACAGGAATCATTGCTCACAATATTGTGATAAAGCTTTGTTGTCAAAGGGGTGTGTCGTCATTCCTTGGTGTGAATCATTGCTCACAATATTGTGATGGAGCTTTGTTGTCAAGGGTGTGTGTCGTCATTCCATGATAACAGGAATCATTGCTCACAATATTGTCATGAAGCTTTATTGTCAAGGGTGTGTGTCGTCATTCTTGGATGGCAGGAATCATTGCTCACAAAACTGTGATGAAGCTTTGTTATTAAATACATGGACAAGTTCAAATTAGAGTTACTTCCCTTTACTTTAGCACCAACAGAAAGGGAAGTGACTGACTATCACATTGTCAGCAGCATTTTATTCCTTTATGATACATTGATTAATAGAATTATGAAGCCAAACAGTGTCTTAACATACAATTGCAAAGTAGAAATAGCCATAATAATCACCCCTAAAAGTCTTTATTTTTGAGTTTATCAAGCACATATTTTTTTGGAAAAAGGTTTAAGGAGCAACTTCACTTATTAACATGTCTATATTTTTCTATCAATTCAAGCAAATGTTTTGTGTAACTTTCAGACATCAGACGGTTCATCATCGGAGGGCAGCAGCTGAAAGACAAACCTCCATCTTTAGTCACAGATGAAGAAGCTCTGCATCTTTTGTAATAGTCACACCTGATTGGGCAGCATGCACATTTGGAATCATTTCATTGGACAACAGACAGCAGTGGGGGCTCACATCTTTGTCATGATTGACAGCATCTTCTGAGTGCATTCATCAACTGTGGCATGAAAACTGATTGTACATAATTTCATTTTAGTGCATCTGAGATACTGAATGAGAAAGACTTTGTGATAGGACTTGTGGTGTTTGACTACAAGAACCATTTTACGTTCATTAGCATCTGTCAGGTTTTATTATGTTCATATTTACCAGCGAGACTCACTTTCATACATCAATATCAGGCATGAAGATGTTCTTCGGGACTGATGCCATAATTCTACAGAAGTCCCTGTAATTGTTGTGGTTGTTTTTGGTTTTTTGTAAATAATCCCAAATTCATCCAAAGAGAGTGTATTTTGATAAACTGCTGTAGCAATCTCCTGTCTCTTCTTATTTTGAACCAGCAAACAATTCTGGATTGTCCCTCATAATGTTCAAACCTCAGATATTATCAGGGAGCTGATATTGTCCAGTAGCTGCAATTTGCTGTGCAGAGTTGCATCCCTTTAGCTTGATAGGAACCTATGATTAGACATGTATCACTGAAGGATTTTTCTCACATCAAGCTAACAAGCCTTGACAAAACTGAAATACAAGCTGGTCATTTGATGTAATACAAGTACTCCTTGTACAAATCTAGAACTTGAAGCTTACATTTCAACTGATATAGTCACCAGGTACAGTATACAATGTAAGATGTTATTTATGACGAAGAATCAGCTCTGTGATTTGATAAAAAATGATGCAATTTCATGTCAGGATTCATAAGTTGGACTGAGACAGTATCTTGGTAGATAATTCAAACTATGTCATCATTAAATGTTGAATGTATTTAGGATGTGATGTTGGGACTTTATGTAATGCAAGTATACAGTATCAGGCTTCCTCTAGTGACACACATACTTGGATTCACAGTGTAACTTGGAATGTACGAAGCTTGTGTCAGTGTGCACAGTAGGTGGAGCAAATTGTAAATGTCAGTTATTTTTCACATAATTTGTGAATTGACCATGTTTGCCGTCCTGAAGTGTTGTATAAACATATGACATGAAATGTTATCGTTGTTTCGAATGTGTTGCTGTTCCGTTATGATGGTGTATCCAGTTAGCAGATCATTTTGTTTGGTTTTCGTTAAAGAGGTGGGGTTTGCAGTTCCTTGGGCACTGTAACTATCGCCATAAGTATTAAAATTGACTATTTATCTTTATGCATGCATACCCCAAATTATTGTATTTAAATACTAATAACAGGGCTTTTGCAGCTGTCCTCCAAGTTAATTTTGTAAGCATTAATATCTGTTAGGCCACAAGAAATTAATTTTCAGATTTTCATCCTATTGCCTTAACCCCAAACATTCACCTCCATTCAGATGAGGAAAATCACTACCTGTGTTCACTTCTTTCATTACTTGATCAACCTTCCATTCTGGGTTCAAATCCTGGTTTCCCAGGATTGTGTTTCGAGGTTTGTTGGGTTCAGTTAAGTGGTTAACATCTAAGACCTGCATCTCTTCAGGGGCAGTGGGGTAGCCTAGTGGTTAAAGCATTCGCTTGTCAATCGGAAGCCCTAGGTTCGATTCCAAGGTTCGGTACAATGTGAGAAGCCCATTCCTGGTGTCCCACGCCGTGATATTGCTGGAACATTGCTAAAGTGGCATAAAACCCAACTCACTCACTCACTCAGGCTTTTCCCTGACATCAAGCTGTTACACAGTGAAACAAATTGAATATTGTCCAAAGCTGATGTAAACGGAACCCACTTCGTTGATTGATGAATACCCCATATTCATCACACTATAAGTTTTCAATTTACATGAATTACATTTTTGTACAGTTAACGTTCCCAGATGTATTGAGGAGTTTGTCACATCGAAAGTACAATATTTGGATGAAAATCTCATTATTTCATGTGGCCTAATACATTCATTACTGTAAACTAGCACATTCAGTGGCAACAAGATGTTCATGACGATCATTCAAACAAGGCTCTCTATCTTTGTTGCAGACATAACAGCTTGTAATGGATGACGTGATTTATAGTCTTTTCGGATCATACATTGGCTTTTTACCTGAAACTTGCAGTTTCAGTGATGCTCTTGCTAAATTTGTAAAAAGTACTGTTTATATAATATTGGTGAAGATGCCATTGAAGCTGTTTGAATTGTGACCACAGTATCTGCCAGTACCTCAAATTTGTTATCAAGCACCTGTTGGTGACCAGAAGTCACTACACAGACTTGATTTATCAGGGATGTATGACAGCTTGTACGATCGATCACAATTGCAACATTTCATTTTTAAAACACTAAGACATTTCTGTGGCTAGTTTCTCATATTTCTGAGAACCTCTTGTTAAGCTGTGATCATGAATAAGGCTTTCTAGGATAGATGGTTGACAATTATTTTCTCTTTTTATGTTCCCCTGCTTAAGCATTGTTCAATATAACCGCTATCCAGCAGTTATTTTGTGTAAATGTTCAGGTTCAGTCAGTATTTATTGACCCATAATTGTTGCTGATGTGCAAGTGCTAAATGATCTGAAAGGTTAGATCTCAAACTTAGATTTGTGTTTTTTATCATTTATGGGAACACATTGCTAGCATATAACATGTATGTGTGCAGGGACAGTTGTTTATGTTAGAATATTGGGATAATCTATACTTTCCAAAAATTTACTTTATGTACAGAATTAAATACTTTTGGATAAATATTACCATGGTTTCTAACAATTTTATAGAAGTATTATATACTGCTGGAAAGTGGTTTTTTTAATTCAGAGTTGATCCTTAAAATGAAGGTTTTTGATGTTTTAGATGTGTATGAAATATGTTTTTTGCACTTAATGCAGTTTAAGCTGTTTTCATAATGTAATCTGTGGTATCTGAAAGTCCTTACCAGAATCAGTAGGAAAGATATGGCTTCATTGAACACTGTTCAGGGCACTTCTAAGATTTTGATGTTAAGTTCACAGGAGTTCTTTGTTGTACTTTGTCACTGAAAGGAATCAGTGTATGAATTTCAATAAAATATTCATGACTTGTATGATGATCAAATCATGTACATTATCATTTAATTATGATTTTTTTATCATGTTCATATTTTTTTTTAAATTTGTTGGATTTTTTTTGTCTCACATTATCACAGGGACACAATAACAGTTAATAGAGTAAATCATAGAGTAAATCAGGGCCATATTCAGAAACCTGTGATCGTGGGTTTGAACTCAAGTTTGTCCTGGTTAGGATGCTTGGTTTGTTGGCACCAAGCATGTTCTCATGGGCTTTACTGAAGAGAACAATGTCTGAGACCGGCATCACTTCAGGGTTTCAATGCCCATCAAGCTGGTGCTCTGATATAACTGAAATGTGGGGTAGCCTAGTGCTTAAAGCGTTCGCTGAAGACCCGGGTTCGATTCCCTCTATGGGTACAATGTATGAAGCCCATTTGTGGTGTCCCCTGCTGTGATATTGCTGGAATATTGCTAAAAGTGGCGTAAAACCCAAATCACTCACTGACTAAAATGCTGTGAACAGCTGCATGTCACACCTCAGCAACCTGCACCAGCCGTAAGAGGCAACAGGATGGATTGGGTGGTCAGGGTTGGGACTTGGTTGAATGCATGTCATCATTTTCCGATGAAGTGCAATGTTGCTCATAATATCCATCGCTGGTTCATATTCAGATTTTGCAGGCTGCTAAAATATAGCTGGAATATTGCTGAGTGCAGCTTGAAACAAACAGAACATTCAAACCAAGCATTTAGTTGCAATTAATTAAACTTTGCTGGCTCAGTTCAGTGATTGGGCAGTTCTTGTTAATATGCATTGATCATCATCATTATCATCATCATCTGGCATAGTTCTGTATTGCACTGTGTGAACTGTACGCACCGGACGCCCTTCACGAGAGCAATAGATGAAGCTGTGTTTTGTATTACATTTCATCCAGTTATATATATATGTGTGATCGTGATTGTCATAGCTGTACATAAATCTAGCTATCCAGTGAATTGAGCTTTCATAAGCCATACAAAGTATCAATAAAACCCAAATTGTGTAAAATGAATGTGCGTTTTGTTATATGATTCAACTACTGTCACGCCTAACCAGAAACATTCGCTATAGTAACATCTAGTGTTGGGAATTGGTTGAAATATCACAATTGATGATTGGTTCATTACCAACGAGCAATCATCGAAATACATTGGTTAGCGTCATTTTTCAGATTTTCCTATTCAGGTTGTTATTGCTGTTGTTTTTTAGAAACTGCAAATTGCATTTGAATTTGCAAACTTTACATCCGAGGTAAAATGACGCAACTTGCTACTTTAAAGTGATGACTAATATATCATGGACATAAACCTCCTGGAGACTTTAAGAAATATTCAGTCATGACTAAGAATTCTAAGTTGCTAAGAATTAAACACATTTTCAGGCGGACAGCTTCTAAGATATGTTCCATCGTTAAGTGTTTCAAACTATAAAATAGTAGTTCCAAATTCGTTGTGTTTGATTACAAGAAAATGTGATCCGATTGCTTGGTCGTTGGGTCACTGCAACCAATCTTTGAATATTTCAGTAATTGGAACACCACAAGCAACACCCTGACTCATTAACATCAGAGATTAGTTCTTGCTACAGCTACATGTAAACACATTGAAAGGAATAACAAAAAAGATATTTGCAAAAAATGCAGTCCCAAAAGTTAGGTTGACAGACTATAGGTATGATCATTATTAAAACAGAATAATCAAACATTCAAGGCTCGGGTCCCATGTTCATTGTGACTCAGATTGTCAACATCGACATTTACAAGATTTCCAGACCATGTGATATGTTGAGAAAAAAACTTGCAAGCATGATAATCTTCATATTTAACTGAAACCATCATGTTTAAAATTAAACTGTCAACAAGCGTTTGGACCTCTGGATTCAAGGGCAGATTTGGTCCCAAGTAGAACTTGTCAGGTACATATACAACTGGATGTGACCACTAACATAGACGAGTGCTGAACTGGCGGTTACGTTCTGTGACCTTCCTTCATTCCTTAATGTGGAACCCTATTGTGGTTTGGAGTTCGTACCCCTGCAATGATTGTAAGCTGCGACTTGATGGGACAGGTAATTACAGTCCATTCAATTTCATTTGAGACCGAGAATTGCATTTTTCGCTATTTTTTACAAGGGGGTACCACTGGCTGGTTGAACAGCCAGGTAATCAATAAGCGTGTTGTGAAATTGAAATTTCACAGGTCCAACTCGCACACCTGGCTGTTCTACCAGCAAGAGGTCCCCCCTTGTAAAAAATAGCAAAAAGTGACAACAAAATAATGAATGTTTGTTAAACAATTTTTTTTATTCAGGTGTCCAAAATTATGAGACAAATCATCAGAGTTGGTCTGTTGATTTCATGTGACGAAATTTGGTTTTGTTTTAGTGATAGTGAGCAATACATCTGTCTCAAATGAAATCAAATGGACTGTAAACAAGGTGACTTACTTGATAGCATACCTTTATATCTTGATAAGGCCAGACCAATTTTATTTCTTGTTTTACAGATTTTTGTCCTCAGAAAACCTAAAGGCAGGAGGGAAAAAAATAAAAATCACTAGTCAAAATAATTTTCCTTTTAAAGGTCACATGCAACGTAAAACTCAACTTTGCAGATTCTGATACCTTTCGGTATGGACTTACCGAAACAAATCGTCAAAAATGCAAATTCAACTTATAAAGTTGAAAAATAACGCGATGAAAAAACCCGCGCGAAATCGGAGTTCAAACGTTTCACTAAATTTCCCTAGACTTTTCTGGGGAAAACGGGTTTCAACAGCTGGGCTGCGCTCATAGCATGTGCGCAGTGAAATAGGTTCGCGCAGCTTGGAAGCGGGTTGTCCGGTGATTACTTGGTGAAGGCTTTGGTGTGAGCTATTTTTCTAATGTTTTGTTGATATCTCACAGGCGCGAGCTTTTTATATGTTATGACAGTAAATTAACTGTTTATATAATTTCATTTGTCTATTTCACCACACGTTCTTCTTACCGAGTCACTTTCTCAGTTAGATACTTAAAAGCAATGTCGGGGCGGTGGGGTAGCCTAGTGGTTAAAGCGTTGGCTCGTCACACCGAGGACCCGGGTTCGAATCCCCACATGGGCACATTGTGTGAAGCCCATTACTGGTGTCCCCCGCCGTGATATTGCTGGAATATTGCTAAAAGCGGCGTAAAACCATACTCACTCACTCACTAAAAGCAATGTCATTATTTAGCGTTGACAGAATTTCTAACTGTGATATAGATATGTCGTTGTCACAGACAAAACTCAATGTCTTGTTTTATTGACACCTGTGTGTCTGCCTGCCTGTCTGCTAATGACAATATTCAATACACAGCTGCTATCACTGACCACATGTAATTTGAACTTAACACCAATCAGGCTATACACCATAAACAAAATGCATTGATTTATGGCCCCGAGTTCGGCCTCTGTCACATTATGTAATTACACAGACAGGCAGGTGTGATGTTATACTGTCTGTTGATTGCAAAATGTTATACACAAAAAATGAGCATGTATTTACAAAACCCAACATCTCTATACACACAATGAGCATCTGCAAATGAACAAGCCGTTACACTTGAGTGCACACCCACCCGCTCTGACTGGGTTCGGTATCCCGGCTGCTTCGTTTCTTGGGAAGTAAACCCAAGTACACAATATTGCACTTTTGATTTGCGATTGTACGCTTATAATTTTGTTTATGTTTTTTCATAACCAGCAATGTATATTATATGTCATGAATAAGTGATAATTGTGTTTTAATTATGTTTGATTTTTTGGTTGCATGTGACCTTTAAATACTAAAAGTATTTTATTTTTGGCAATTTATGAAGTTTATATGGTGAAAAAAACAATAAAAAAAAATGTTTTCTGTAAGTTTACATTTCTGGCCAATATAAACATGAGGATTTTATTTTTTGAGCGGGGAAAATTAATAAAAAAATTGTTTCTTATTCTTGAAAAAATACGACCGCGGATCCATAAAACAAGAAATATAATTGGTCTGGCCTAATGTGAATTGTTATCAGTCACTCATATCAGTCACTGGATTGACTTGTCCTGACTTGATCATCTATAGGCCACCATCATTTCACTTTAATGTGCAAAGTGGGGCACCATCATTTCACTTTAATATGCAAAGTGGGGCATTAAAAACACACACAGCCGATTTGATGAGGTTGTTACACGACTAAAATCCGCTGTAATCCACTCACCCGTTGCCTTACAACTGACAACCCCACTTACCACCAAGTATTCTATGTCCACTGTAAGATCAAAGGCACCACCCCTTTGCATAAGCTGTAATGATCAGGGGTTAAATCATTTCTCCATACAAGGACACATAATGCCAACACATGCTTTGATTCCATTATTCTATTTACCTTAATGGAGGAGAAGCACTTTAACTATTTTATGTGAGGGCTCCTGTACTGAAGGTCAAATCTGAATCCGCAAGCAGGGCACGCATTACCACTACAACATACATGATGTTAAAGGACTTGACACAAAGAATCAGCAATAATTTGGTGTCTTTTCAATCAGCCTGAACTTGGATAACCATCTACTTTTGTGCAGTGTTCAACAAAGATTTCAGACCTGCCACCATACACTACGGCCTTTTGAAAATGTGATTTGCCTCTGTACCGAGGCCCATTCCATGAGTGAGTGAGTTTAGTTTTATGCCTCACTCAGCAATATTCCAGCTATATGGCAGCGGTCTTTAAATAATCGAGTCTGAACCAAAAAATCCAGTGATCAACGGCATGAACATTGATCTATGCAAATGGGATACAGTGACGTGTTAACCAAGTCAGCGAGCCTGACCACCCGACCCCTTTGCATGGGTTGCTGAAGATCAATTCTAACCCAGATCTTCACAGGTCCCGTTCCGTGAAGCGATCATAGTGCTACAAGTGTCATAAGTCTATGTTGAAGCGGTAAAGTCATCTTGGCAATAAGATCACTTTCTATGCTAGGCCCCAGGGCACAGTTGCACATATCTTTGCGCTAAGACCATCTGAAGTTTATGTTCGAGGGTGGGCTTTATGATCATCTTTGTGCATGTAGGTCCAGAGCATAAAGATGTTTTTGTTAAAACTGGCTTCAATCTATTCCGATAAACTCCAATCATGCTGCTTGCTGGCAATCAACTTGATAATTCATCATGAAGGTTATGGTAATAGTGAGTGAGTGAGTTTGGTTTTACGCTGCTTGTAGCAATATACTAGCAATATCACGGCGGGGGACACCAGAAATGGGCTTCACACATTGTACCAATGTGGGGAATCGAACCTGGGTTTTCGGCGTGATGAGCGAACGCTTTAACCACCCCACCGCCCCTTATGATAATAGATTACTCACTTGACATCATACTGGCATGGTCTTTGCTAAAATTTACTTTGTTCATGTAAGAATGAGTTGGAGTCATCAGAATAGGGAACAAATATTTCAATTACATGAACTGAATATACAGCTGGAAAAAAGTTAAGCTCCATCCCTCCTCATTTCCACATGTCCCAGTTGTCAATGGATGTTTTGGAAATAATTTTACATTGGACATTGATCTCATTCAATTAGGGTCTGAGATACCTGTTTGTTTTAAACCACACAATGCTCCAGCTACATGGAGTGAGTGAGTGAGTTGGGTTTCAAGCCACTTTTAGTAATATTCCAGCAATATCGTGGCAGGGGACACCAGAAATGGGCTTCACACATTGTACCCATGTGGGGAATAGAACCATGGTCTTTGGTGTGACGATTGAACGCTTTAACCACGAAGCTACCACACTATCCTGGAAGTCTGTAAATACCAGACAGTCCAGTGACTGACATCATGAGCATCAAACTACACAACTGGGAAATGAATCACATCACCATGACTGACCATCCATTCCATTTAGTGGTTCTCATGACAGTGAGTGAGTTTAGTTTTACGCCACACTCAGCAATATTCCAGCTATATGGCAGCGGTCTGTAAATAATCAAGTCTGGACCAAACAATCCAGTGATCAACAACATGAGCATCGACCTGTGTCTGACAGAAGTAGTACACCCAGTCATCTTAGTCTCCTCTACTTGTCCACATCACCAGTTTGAAGGACATCACGATTCACCAACACATTGGCACATCAGTCACATTCTCAGACAATATGATGCACATTTTTCCATATCAATTCATCGTCACATCATTTCAGCCAGGCAATGCCCAAACGGGCACTGGAATGACTATTTGGGCAAAATGGGTCCTACCTACATTTTGATAAACAATTTATCATTATTAATTATTGCTATATCCACATGGTACATGGTTTTAAGACATAAATTCTGCTCGTGTTTTCCTCACTGGCAATAGCATTTAGTCTTCTTCCAGTTTTACCGGAATGAAACGGATTGGTTGGTTGGTTTGTTGTTTAACGCCACACTCAGCAATATTCCAGCTATATGGTTGGGTCTGTAAATAATTGAGTCTGGACCAGACAATCCAGTGATAACGTCATGAGCATTGATCTACGCAAATGTGATACAATGATGCCAACCAAGTTAGCGAGCCTGACCACCCGATCCCGTTAGTTGCCTCTTATAACATCGATTGAAATTAGATGCATTACTTTTAAATATGAGACCAGATATTTTCATGTCTTTTTATGCCCTATGAAAAATAAAAATTCATGCAAAGTTTTCATGAATTATCATGATCCATGTCATATTGTGAACACGGTATTGGTGGATAATCCTTTTTAATTATCGATGCTCATGCTGTTGATCACTGGATTGTCTGGTCCAGACTTAATTATTTACAGACTGATGCCATATAGCTGGAATATTGCTGAGTGCGACGTAAAACTAAACTCACTTTAAAATTAGAAAATAGAACTGAAACCTGTTGAAACAAGGACATGATCTTTTGCAAAATCTTTCCTACCTAGGAACTCATACCAAAAGATATTAAATCAATACAATCCTTCAGTAGCTTTACAGAAAAGATCATCCCAAAATTTAGGCGTAAAGTTGCTTTTGCTTAAAGTTTTTGAAATAGAATCTGTCAAGTAATGCATCCCTGTCTGAGATTAGTTTACAGCGACCTAAATTCACATGAAACCAATAGATTCTTTTCAAATGGCCCATCATGCTAGTGTGGGGTTACTTGTGAAAATACCCTTCATTAAATATTTGTGTGTCTAAATTACATTATTGCTTAACGGGTGTAGTATTGAATTAGTATCTGACGTTAGCCAGTATTTCAATATATTTGTGTGTTTGTTTGTTGCTTAACATGGCACTCAGCAATATTCCAGTTAAATGGCGGCAACTTATGTAAATAATTGAGTGTGGACCAGACAATCCAGTGATCAACAGCATAACCGTCTGTCTTTGTGTATGTCGTGTAATACACTTACATGTCTTTGTATTGGAACAGCCTTAACATGAAACTGTGTCTTTCAGTACGGAATTAATGTTTTTATAGCAGATTATGTGAGTCATAAAGGTGTTGTATGGTGTTTTTTACCAACTTTTCAATATGTTGGACTCGAAGATATTTAGGGAATTAAACATATGCATCACATAGCAACCATTTCTCAGCCAAGTGAACATATCCTGAACTATTTTTTTTCCGTTTATATAGGTAGAAGAAATTATGCAATGTTAACGCAAAACGTTCGTGTTTTCCGTGTATAAACATCTAGCAGGAGAAGTCCGTCTGGCTTAAAATCCCGTTTAGCTGAAATGCTTCATTGTCGGACTTGGTGCCGCGGATTGGTTGAAAAATTATATTGAAACGGAATAAAACCATGTCCGCTAAATCAGACACCTTGCGTCGACTTGCATAAAAGCTCTGCAGTCCATCTATTCGGAGCCATCAGTCAGCTCTTTGAAATATTTTACCAACATTGATCGGTCGAACTAGTTTAGAGTGACTTCCCTTAGCTTTCCTAGTGACCGGTTCTGACACAAGAGGGCGCATGCAAGCACTTTGATGATTCATTTGCGGGAACATTTGGCATCGGTAAGGCCTGCTGTCACTGGAACAATTGGCGTATTCTTTGTTATTTGCTTGGAAATCCACGGATTAATGAAGCAGTTGCAATAGAACGCCCCAACCAGGTGACAAGAGCGCGGTTTCTTGGAGTAAGCAGTCTTTGATTGTACCGACATAGGAACCGCATCCCCATCAGTTGATGGCCGGTCCTTGTGTATTGATTCTCATGCTAAATGCACTGGCAGCAAGTCGGCTGTAGAGGAAAATATATGCAGAACCAATACAGATGAGTCTCTGATAGAAGGTAGCACGTTTGGATTATACGATGTCGCATTCACACAAAGATGAACTTTATGTGGGACCATATCGACTGGAAAAGACCCTCGGAAAAGGCCAAACAGGTAGGAACAGCGATAATCGCACTTATTGATATTTCAGTCATGTTTCATTCATGACCATCGATTTATTGGTTGCACGAATGACAACAAGAGGAGAGCTGACACTGTTGCTCACAGCGTCAGAAGAACCCCTGACCTAGCCTTTACCTCTGGCCTGGCAAGCACGGTTCAACTGAACCCCTGTAATTGACATGCATGTGTTTGGTAACTTGATCTTCTCGGCTAACATCTGTGCGCCTGCAAATGCCAGCTGAGAGATTTGAAACTCACAGATCGTAAAACACACAGAAAAATTATTTACTGTTTCTGCCATTCAAAGGAAAAAACCCACAAAAAACAAAGACAAGCTCAAAACAATGTGCAAAAATGACACGCCCACTTTTTGAGATACAAACAAACAAATTATTTGTTTCAGTTATTTCCCTTATTTCAAGGCAGAATTATTTGTTGGCCTCTTAGTAAATATTAATTGTGTAAGTAGGGTAAATTATTGCTTAAAATATTTATGAATGTCATGCAATTGTTCTAACTGAGCTTTGTTCATATGTCAGTGATGATCATCAATAAACAATGGACAGCCCTCATCGATTATGTGATATACTCCCATTGCTCGTTAACGAGGGACCAAATAAACAGGGTGCTTAACGAGCTCAAGCACAGCATGATTATGTTGCTGCTAATCATCATAATTATGTAAATGTGTGTGCTCTGTTTAGGATTTCACCCTTTAGAGAAAGAAATTTGTTTGTACTGTCTGTGATTTTAAAGTCATCAATATGATGAGATGATGTGTGATATGTATATGATAAGATTAATAAATCTGCTTGGTTCACCTAATCGTGATATTGGTGGGTCTTTGATGAATGTGTTAATTGAAATATTTTCATGAAAAGTTTGAATATGCTTTTTTAATTGATGTAACATATATTTTGATTTGCTTCTAAATGATGAATCTGTTTGTTTATGTACTATTTTTAGAATATTCATGATCCCTTCGTGAGTTTTTTGTATAACTCATACATTAGAAATTTGTTCTAACATCCAAGGTATGCAATTTCCATTTTAACATATAGGATATATCATATGTATGACTTAATGCCAAAAATGTTATTTTGTTATGGCTTTGACTGACATAACATTGTGTCGATCCATTATGCGTGAAAGGAAACACAGATGTGACCATACACACATAATATTTTGTGCTCTTTTATCCCACTTACACCCTTGTAATCACTTTCCTGGACAACCATTTTAAATGTCAAGGATATTCTTGGAAGGAATTATCCAATGATAAACTGTTGTAAGATTTGGCTCAGCCAGGGATTACTTTGAGGGATGTGCTACAGTTGGTCCATATGAGAAGAACACGAAGTGTCTTCTATTAACACTTCTGGTAAGACATGAATATGCTGGTTGAACAGTAATCAATAAGAAATGGATTTCTTCTTGAACATAACCAGGCATGAGTGCTGATGCCGCCTGTGTAAAATATTTCCATAGCGATAGTCTGACCAAATCAATGAGCATTGTTTGTGTATGTCTTGAAAATAACAATATAAAGCTGAGGAAAAATGCTTTGCCTGATCTTATTCTGGCACCGTTAAGTGATGGTCCAGTTATATAATTGATGACGGTTTGGATACCTATGATGATTTGGGGTCAGGGATTTATTTAGGATTCCAAACTACATGTCCCAAATTGGGAAAAGATTCTCTCTTTTTATAATTTCAGAGCAGTTTTAAAAGTGAACAATGAAATAATGTAAAATAAACATGGTGGCCTTATTTTCTTCATTGGTCCAGTGCATTGAAATATAATTCATTTATTATAACATTTTTAACATTGGAAAACTGCAAAGTTCTTAATTCTAATTAAGAATGTATGTAATCATGAGCTTATGATCCTCCAACCTTCTTCAGGTTGAGATTAACTGAATCCGAGATGTTCATTTGAGAATTTGTCTGATATTTGCACCAGATTTTGGACTGAATATCACTATCTGGAATCTTTGAATGTATTGATTCATAAAGATGTTTGGGTGTGCCCTGGAGTACCAGTCAGAATATCTTTGACCTTTCTTCAAAGTTGGGAATGTCATTTTCCCATCGGCTAAATAACGAACATTTATTCATTAAACATCTTCGTCATTTCTCAAGTGTTCAAAAGCATGTTAACCACCATTCATTATTATGGTCAATGCCACAAGACCTTTTGTTTTAAAAATAGAATTAATAAGTGCGCTCATCAGGCACAGGAGTCTTTTTTCAGCTGTGTCAATACTGTCATGAGCTTGATTCTAAGAAATTCTTGATCCAATGTTAAGCATGAAATCTTTATTCCAAATGTTGAACCATTCTGCAAATCTGCAGGTAATCATATGTACTTATTAACATGACTGGTATGCACGCTTCATCTTCTTTCAAGGAATTATATTGAAAGAATTTCAATTCATGAAATGTTATTTGATATTGTAAACTAATTGTGTTTTGCTAGTAGTTGTGAACTGATTATTGCCAAAAGAATGATCAAATGGAAAAACAACAACAAATAGCAAACAAATTGTAGAGGAGAGGGATAAAACAGCATGGCATAGCACGAAAATAGTTAGGGAAACAGGTGTAGAGGAGAAGCATGTATAAGTGTGGGAAACACATGTGCCCATTGTAGGGTTGTGCAGTCAGCTGGTGCATGGCTGTGGTGGAGTTGTTTACTGTTATGTTGGAAAATTTCTTTGATGGGGGAAAAAACAAAATGAAATTAAGTGTCATCAAATAGCTGATTTTGTAGGCAAAAGAGTTGACTAACTCTTAGTCTCTGAATATGTATAAGTTTGAAAGTAACAAATAATCCCATTTATTTTGAAAAAGAGCCTATGTGAGATGTGAGATTCAGAGCCTGAGGGAACCTAGGCTTGCTTCATATTAGGCTTTAGCATTGCAGGGAGGGCTAGACTGTAGGGACAATAATGTGGTTCAGGTACTTAGAGACAGACTAGCAAAAGAGCAGAAGCCATAGAAATATGTAGTTAGTCTCATTATCATTGTGAATCTTCTAGACAGGATAGAATTTGTAACATAAAACCCACTCAAATACTAGTATACATATCTGTATTCAGGAACCAGGAATTGATCTTGGATTAAAAACTTCATACCCTTAATCTGCTAGAAAAAACACACATGTTTTTATATTTAGATTTGAAAGTTCTTGTAACATAATGTACATAAATTGATGCTCCCTACATAGAAGCAGTGATTTCTCCCTAGCATGTAACATGGCGCAAAACATACACAAGTGAATATTTGTCACTCTTGACGCTGTCTGTCATTGCTTCTTGGACGCAGAGAAATACAGCTATTGCCAAATAGTTCTTAAATGTTAATACTAAAAGGAGGTATTTTAATCTTACATTAGTTTAAACTTCAGCACTTTCACTTCTTTGATTCTTTTCATTTTCTTTGACATTGGTTATCATTGGTTACTAGAAATATCATAAATTAGAATATTTATGTAATTTTGGACCGTGCACTGACATTGGTTGCAGACTTGGGGCTGAATGTCGGCCTTTGTGCATGTTTCCATAAATACTGTTTGTGAACCCAAAATACCTGATCGTGAACACTGGCTTTGGAACCAGTGCCAAGTTTTGGACTGATATCAGAGGATGGATTAGACCCCCAGTCATTGATGGGTTGGGTGTTGAAGTATGTCCTAAACGGTACCTGAGCCTCGGAAACTGATGCGTCAGTCCTTAACCTGATTTCTAGTTAGGGATAAACCTCTGAAATTGGGACCGATTATGAACACTATCTGTCAATAAATCATCAATAACCTATCAACAAAGAGGGTTGACAAACTTTCCAAGGTTTCAGGATTTTTGTTTTAATAGGTATACGTTTCCATGTGACCCCTGGTCTGTATTTAAGGATTGTAGAAGAGGAGTGAGTGAGAGAGTTTTTAGTTGCCATTTTTAGCAATATTCCAACAATATCACGGCTGTAGGAGAGGGAGGGATCTGTGATAGTTTGTTGAATATAAACACACAGACCATATTGTATTCAGTCATATACTACACCTTATCTTGGATGTATCACATGTAGGTGACTTGTGACGTTAAATATGGTTTTGAGCATTTATTATTTATGTTGTATTGTGCTTCATTTCTCATGGTCATGCATTTCCTTGATATGGTGAAGTATTTGACTTTGGTTTCGTTGTATGATTGGCTGTAAAATTTGATATTCATAATGTTTGAACTTTCAATTATCCTGAATGAATTGTCAATTATCCTGAATGAATTATGCTGTTTCCATTCACATGGATTTGCTGTTATTCAGTGAGCTTTTGATTTGTTTTGTTGTTTCTCATTCATCTGTTAATTTGATCAAAATGATATTCAGTTGAAGCTAACATTAATAATGGAAATATCAGAACAAGTGTCATTTAAATAACTTGGCTTCAAAGCTATTGACAAAATTGATTGACATTGTCAACTTTGGCCATGTCTTTGTGTCTGTACATGAAAGGGCAGGAAAGCTGGAGCCTGTAGGAGGATAGAACCTATTGGCAGTACAGTCCACGTACACAACTTGTAGCATTAATTATTGCTTCAATGGGGATCTGTCATGCTTTTTCATATTTGATAATTGATTAATAATGTATCCTGACCTCCATTGTGTTGGAATGTTTCCATGGATATGTGCAACCTCTAGAGAATCAGTGCTTCAGAGTGGCTCATTCAGACACATTCACTGATCATCTTCAAAATGTCCGAAGGATTATTTTAAAGATTTGGTTTGTTTGTTGTGAAACACTGCACTCAGCAATATTCCTGCTATACGATGGCATTGTGAGTCTGAACCAGCAAGTCATTATGAGTGTTGATCAGTAGAACTTGAAGAGGATGACATGCAAGCCCCACCCCCTGATCCCTTTAGTTGCCACTTCTGACAACAATGGTTGCCAAGCACCAGCTCTAACAGAGTTCTGAGACATTTAAACCTAGT